CTCTGCGTAAACGGAATCTGCTCTTTAACACGCGCGCTCATGCATGCCAGCATTAAGCATGCTCTCTCTCTCTGCCTGCCTCCCTCCCTCCGTCCGTCCGTCCACCTCAAACACCCCTCCTCCACCCCCACCACCACCTGGCTATGAAAAGGTGGCAAATCGTTGACCGCCGTTGGCGATCGGACGACGTCGCAGGCCCCCACGTGTTCCAAGCGACTGCCGGACGCGACTTTATCCGCTCGCAAGTGGCGGTGAATCGAGGGAAAGATTCGGCCCCTCCGAGATCATGTTTTGTTTTGTTTTGCTCACGGACCATCCGAGAGGGTCACATTCCCCTTGGCCTACTCTTCCACGCTCGTCTAGACGTCTTGGCAGCAAAACTACGGAGGGAGTTACCCACGTTGTCCCGAACCGCGCGCTACCTGGCCAATCGACGTAACTGATGGTGGTGGTTGCCCATTGACACCTCTACTGGGTGGACAGAGGAGGTGTGGGGTGAGGTGTGAGGTTGAGGTGAGGTGGGGTGCGCTGGGAGGTCCCCGGGTGCAGATTTAAGAGACCCTGCCTCGCTGTTTCAGCTGCCGAGCCGGGAGGTCGAGATGAATCAGGCGACCTTTGTCTGGATCCCGAGGCCGGTGCGCTCCGCTAGCCGCAACGCCGTGGCAGCGTCCCCGAAGCAAGCTGCCATCACCCTGGGGCACGTGCCGCGTCTCTCTCTCTCTGCCTTGCAGGCGGGTTCATAGCAGGAGCCATAACGCTGCAGTTGTATTTCATTGCTTACAATCGCACTCCCAACGCAAAGAAATTGAAAGGCGCGCGCAGATAGCTAATGCTGACTTCACAATCCAAATATGTATTTATACTGCGGGAGGAATCCGATGAGCTATAGAGCTCTTTGTTCACAGATGTCCAGTAGGGGCGGTTAAGAACGTTACAACAACAAACAGGACAACAGCAGACGATGGTAGTGGCAAGTATAAGAAAGGTGAACTAATCACCCCAACGCAGACAAATAAACCATCCACATCCCAGCAGACAAAGCCCACTCAGGTATTCACGTGTTTTTTCAGAAGTGACTTGGCCACAGATGAGAGCTCAACAAAGTGGCCCCATCATTTGGACTTTTAAGAAGTCATCGAAATGATCTCAATGCTTGTTTCGAAACGTGGAGGGGAAAGGGGGAAATCCCGAGGACCCGGAGGAGAGAGACACGCAAACTCCAAATATACAGCAGGCACGAGGCTCGAGATCGGACCCTGATGTGTTGTTATCTTTAACAACACTGATTAAACAACAACAACGTTACCTTCATACTTCTTGTCTCTCAATATTAAACGAAAAAAATCGGGTACAAACCAAGCGTTTAAATGCACACACTTTTATTTGCGCTCAAAAGTAGAAAACAAAATTAGTGTTTTGACCCCATCATCAAATTTGATATGCTCAATAAAAGTGGGCGCCTTTGCGTAAATACAATTAGACATATCGAGAGGAAGCCACCCACGTATTGCTCTCAAATCGCAGTGCGTTCTTTTGATTATTTCGCTAACGATCCGTCAAACAAGTGGTGCGGTAGTCGACGTTGTCAGTCGTTGTTGTTGTTGCTGCTGTTGTTGCTAAAGCAGCACCACGGATACGCCGTGTAAAATAGCAGGGCAAGAACCGGCTGAACGGGACCGCCGTCATCCGTGTAACGAATCACAGAATAAACGTCCATCAGCATTGCAGCAGCAGCAGCATCAGCAGCAGCACTGCAGCAGCAGCAACAGCATTGCAGCAGCAGCAGCAGCATCATCATCAGCAGCAGCATCATCAGCAGCAGCAGCAGCAAACACTCTCCCCATACGCCCCGCGCTCTTCTTGGTGTCTTTGCGTCGTTTCTGCAGCGTTGTGTGTGTACGTGTGTGTGTGTACGTGTGTGTGTGTACGTGTGTGTGTGTACGCGTGTGTGTGTACGTGTGTGTACGTGTGTGTGTGTGTACGTGTGTGTACGTCTGTGTGTACGTGTGTGTGTGTGCGTGTGTGTAAGTGTGTGTGTGTACGTGTACGTGTGTGTGTGTACGTGTGTGTGTACGTGTGTGTGTACGTGTGTGTCTACGTGTGTGTGTGTGTACGTGTGTGTACGTGTGTGTACGCGTTTGTGTGTGTACGTGTGTGTGTGTACGTGTGTGTGTGTGTACGTGTTTGTGTAAGTGTGTGTGTGTGCGTGTACGTGTACGTGTGTGTGTACGTGTGTGTGTGTGTGTACGCGTGTACGTGTGTGTGTACGTGTATGTGTGTACGTGTGTACGTGTGTGTGTGTACGTGTGTGTGTAAGTGTGTGTGTGTACGTGTACGTGTACGTGTGTGTGTGTACGTGTGTGTGTGTGTACGTACGTACATGCAACAACTCTGGGCCGGTTCCGACAAACAGTGTCTCATCAGCAGTGTCGGGCTCGCTTCAAGCAACCACTGCCGTTCCGCAGAAATGCCCCCATGGAACCTACAGGCGTGCTGCTAGGCCGGCCCGGGCGAGTTTTAAATTGTATTTGACATCATAGTACACGTGCTAATGTGTTACGCGGGATGACCGTGATCCCGTCTGATCGCCACTTTACCCGGCTGTTGTACACGGGAGATCCGTGGTTTTGTGCGAGTGAGCACAGCAGCATCGAACGACAAGATTCATCACAAGATTCATCACAAGATTCATCACAATATTCATGACGATATTCATGACGATATTCATCACGATATCCATCACGATACCCATCACGATATCCATCATGCAGTGGAAGAGTGAAACGGCGTCCTTCAGGGACACTGCACAACTAACGAGGTCTTTAACTACCGCAGACAGCAGGCGTGCTGGAGATTGTATAATCATGCAGAATACTGAGATTTGTTTTACCTAAAGGATTTAGCCCCCTTAGAGATCTGACCAACTTTGTGTCGTTCAGACCCTCCACCACCCGACACAGCCAAGCAAAGTAAATGGTCACGCGGTGTACGCGCGGTTATAATTTGGGTATATTCGCGTAGTATAATGTCAAATATACTCGTGTTAAGTGCACTCGTGTATTGTAGTGTTAAGTATATTTTATATTAAGTATATGTTAAGTATATTCATGAATTATGTTATGTATATTCGTGTACTAGTGTTATGTATATTCGTGTACTATAGTATTTAATGTAATCCTGTATAATAATATTTAGTATATTCGCATACAATATAGTATTTAGTATAATCGTATACTATAATGTTAAGTATATTCCATGTTAAGTTTGTTTTTAGGCAGAGCCAATCTAGGAGTTGGACAGATCATTTGGCCACTGGCGATTATTGGACACTTCTGCATTAAAAGGCAGGCAAAGACAAAGGCCCCCAGTATAGCCTACGCATGCTGTTGGGCCAAGTGCTACTAGCGGCAAGCACTACACCCGGACGACTTTGTCTCTCACGAGCGATGACGTCTCCACACCGTAGCGGATAGTAATTTAAGGCTGAGTCGACCTAAAAGCGCAGTGACGATTCAGGTAATGACCACTGATGTTCGCCGTGGCCGGGAGTCGAACCTGGGCAGCCGGGATCGTAACGCAGAACGCGAACCACTGAGCCACCGCTCCCAATATACAAAGATAAAGATCCCCATATAGCCTTAAACAGGCTGTTGGGGCAAGTGCTGCTAGCGAGTAGCACCTATGAAGGCCCGAACGGCACACGAGGTGGCTGGTGGACAGAACCACGCCCGGCCGCCTTTGTCTCCCCACTGGCGATGTTTACACACCGCACCAGGTACTCATTTGAGGCTGAGTCGACCTAGCGGAGACCCAGGACCGGTTCAGATAATCGTCACCGGTGTTGGCCGTGAGCGGGAATCGAACTCGGGTCGCCAGGTTCGTAGTGCAGCGCGCTTACCCCTACACCACCGCTCCACATACACACAAAGACAACAAAGACAAAGATCCCCCGTATAGCCTCTACCAGACTGTCGGGGCAAGTGCTGTTAGCGAGTAGCACCTACGAAGGCCGGCACGGCAACACAAGGTTGGTGGGTGACTGGCACACAACTCCCGACCGCCTTTGTCTCCCTCGTGGTTACGTTTACACGCTCCACACAAATAGACACACACTCACTCACCGCGCACCGCACAAAGAAAGGGTAGCCCAGCACACACCCACATCCATCAAGTGGCCTCGCTCGCCTCCCCTTCGTGACTCGCAACCCGCACCCCCACAGCTCCACTCGCCGGCCCCCTTGTGACGTCGCGGTGTCCCTCTCTGTCTCTCTGTGTGTCTCTGTGTGTGTGTCTCTGTGTGTGTGTCTCTCTGTGTGTCTCTCTGTTGTCTCTGTGTTGTCTCTGTGTCTCTGTGTGTGTCTCTCTGTGTGTGTCTCTCTCTCTCTCTCTGTGTCTTTCTGTCTCTCTCTCTGTGTCTCTCTGTGTCTCTCTGTGTGTCTCTCTGTCTCTCTGTGTGTGTCTCTCTGTCTCTCTGCGTGTGTCTCTCTGTGTGTCTCTCTCCTTACGTCTCTCTGTGTGTGTCTCTCTGTGTCTCTGTGTGTGTTTCTCTGTGTGTGTCTCTCTGTCTCTCTGTGTGTGTATCTCTGAGTCTCTGTGTCTATGTGTGTGTCTCTCTCTCTGTGTGTGTCTCTCTGTGTCTATGTGTGTGTGTCTCTCCGTCTGTCTGTGTGTATCTCTCTGTCTCTCTCTCTTTCTGCGTCGCTATGTGTGTCTCTCTCTCTCTGTGTGTCTCTGTGTGTGTCTCTGTGTGTCTCTGTGTGTCTCTCTCTCTTGCGTCCCTCTGTATGTGTGTCTCCCTCTCTGCGTCTCTCTGTGTGTCTCTGTGCCTCTCTCTCTCTGTCTTTCTGTGTCTCTCTGTGTGTCTCTGTGTGTGTCTCTCTCTGCGTCTCTCTGCGTCTCTGTGTGTCTCTCTCTGCGTGTGCTCGGCACGAACAACAACAATAAGAATCTGCGCAGCAGCAGGCGGCGGCGTCGTGAATATTCATGAGAGGCATCGCCTCGAGTCTCCTCTGCGCGTCTATAAAAATGCGGGGGCGTGTGGGCGGGCGGAGAGCCACGCGGACTGCTGCTGCTGCTGCCCACGAAGCCGCAGCGAGTCGAGAGCGGCGACGATGACGGCCAGGCGAGTAGTGAGCGGTGATGGTGCGGAGCGTGAGAGACGTGCATGGCAATACGCACATTTCCCTGGTGCGCGTGGAACGTTGGATCAACGTTGGCTCAACGTTGATGCAATGTCGGTGCAACGTTGCACCAACGGCCAACGTTGCTGGAACGTTGGCCGTTGGTGTAACGTTGAGCCAACGTTGCTGGAACGTTGGCTCAACGTTGTGGCCGACGTTGGGTTGAGGTTGGGCTGACGTTGGTCCGACGTTGCACATCCACTGGGTATGTATTACTACATACACACACAGAGTGTATGTACAACCACACACACAATACAACCACACACACATTACAACCACACACACATTACAACCACACACACAATACAACCACACACACAATACAACCACACACACATTACAACCACACACACAATACAACCACACACACAATACAACCACACACACAATACAACCACACACACATTACAACCACACACACATTACAACCACACACACATTACAAACACACACACACACACCGACACGTGTATACACACACACCAGGGTGTACACAGATTGTACACACACTACATAAATACGTACACGACACAAACAAAGACAAAGATCTCCTGTGTAGCCTTAACAGGATGTTGGGGCAAGTGTTGTCAGCGAGCACCTATGGAGGCTGCCACGACACACGAGGGGGTGGGTGGCCAGCACCACGTCCGGCCGCCTTTGTCTCCCTAGTAGCGATGTTTTTACACACCGCACCAGGTACTCATTTGAGGCTGAGTCGACCTAGAGGAGGCCCAGGACCGGTTTAGATAATCGTCACTGGTGTTGTCCGTGAGCGGGAATCGAACTCGGGTCACCAGGTTCGTAGCGCAGCGTAACGCTAACCACTGCGCCACCGCTCTCCACACACGCACACGTATACACACACGTACGTACACACACACACGCACACACACACGTACACGCACACACACGTACACACACACACGTACACACGCACGCACGTACGTACACACACACGCACCACACATGTGTATAGTGTGTGTGTTGTCTGTGTGTGTAGTATCTGTGTGTATAGTGTGTATAGTCTGTGTGTTGTTCATTCCGCGTGTAGACTTTACAGCGGGAGCGCCGCCGCATCTCACTCGCGCAGGGGCCGCGAGACGGAACGCGCCGAACGCGCTCGCCCCTCGCCCCAAAGCGCCGCGTTCAGGTGGCCACCGACCCCCCCGACCCCCCCCCCCCCCACCACCTCCACCACCTCCACCACCACGGACAGCCGTCACTGAGCCTCGAAACTCCTTGTCAAGAGCGTTCCTCCCCCTGCCACACGTTGACGCAGTGATGGGGGGTGATGCCGCTGCCGCTGAGATGGAAATTGGATTGAAAGCAACACGAGCGTTGGTGTCAGCGTGCGCGATGCGCTACGTCGTGGGCCTCCCCTAGGTCGACTCGGCCTCAAATGAGTGCCTGGTGCGGTGTGTAGTAAACATCGCCCCGAGGGAGACAAAGGCGGCTGGGCAGTGGTGTTCGCCACCCACCCCTTCGTGTGCCGTGCCGGCCTTCATAGGTGCTACTCGCTCGCCGCAGTTGCCCCGACAGCCTGTTAATGATACACGGGGGATCTTAATATTTGTGGGGAGCGGTGGTGTAGCGGTTAGCGCTACGCTGCGCTACGAACCCGGCGACCCGAGTTCGATTCCCGCTCACGGCCAACACCGGTGACGATTATCTAAACCGGTCCCGGGCCTCCCCTATGTCGACGCAGCCTCAAATGAGTGCCTGGTGCGGTGTGTAGTAATCATCGCAATCGGGGAGACAAAGGCGGCCGGGCGTGCTGCTGGCCCACCCACCCCCCCCTCGTGTGCCACAGTGCCGGCAGCCTTCATTGGGTGCCAAAGCACTTGGCCCCAACAGTCTGCTGAGGCTACGTGGGGGGGTTGGGGGGGGGGTCTTTGACGCGTGATCCCAGCGGAGTAATCCGCAAGGTAATTGTCCGGCATTGGGATGTTTGTGCAGCAGCAGCCGCACTGTACCACGCGCGGGGTGTTCAGCTTTTTGGAAGGAAACCGCACAGCAGTGAGCAGTGCTGCCACTTTCACAATGTCTCCCCGTCAGCTTCGTGGCCAACAGCAACGCGCCAGGCTCGGTGACGCGGTTTCTTGCTTCCTTCGATTACGCGGAGTGCCGCTCGCCAGTAAGGTCCGGCGGGAATTAGCAGCAGCCTTTGCTCAACACGCCGTGATAGCGCACTGCTGATGAGACCCAGACGGCCGAAACCATTCCAGATTCTCCCCCCCCCCCACCACCACCACCCCCCTTGCTTAAACACTGATGGATGACACCTTTTTTTCTACTTGCATGTGGAGGACATGGAACTGGGCTCTGGCCCGTTGTTCTATAGCAAGGCTCTGGGTATTCTCAGCCAACAGCCGTTAACTCTCTCTCTCTCTCTCTCTTATCCGCGCGTGCGAGACGTGTACGCGCTTACAGGAGGAGCACCTGCGCCAGCTTGCAACGCTCACAGGACAGGCAGACGATGCCCGTGACTCATCCTGCAAGTTAACCATTGCAGGATGGGCTGCGTTAAAGGGGTTCACAGATCCGCGAAATAGCGGGGGCATTGCCCCATCGTCGAGTTCTCTCTGGCAGGCGAGGAGCTGCGTTGGCCGGGTCACGTCACCCCGGCATTGCCCAGCCAGCGCATGCAGAGCTCCAAGTCGGCACGGCGTAGACTCGAGCAGAGATGGGCTGCTGATGTGGTGCAGGACTTCGAGATAGATAAGTAGCCTTGCTGATAGCTGGAACTAGCGGTGTCAAGATCGGCCTCTGTGGAGGAGGAGGCTCGTGAAGGACGCTGCTGCTGCTGCTACTGGGCAGTTGGAGGCAATCGTCGCCCTCCAGCAACAACGGAGGGCAGCGGAGCGACGCTCACAACAACGAGCGGAGCGCCGGGTGGATTAAAGCCTGCAAGTTGGCGCAAGGGATGGGCACAGGTGGTGCATCTGCCACTCATCTCAGCCAGTCAACAAACATTACACCTGGGTGTCTCATAACCTTCCGTCAGCGAGCCTTCGACACCCCACGTGGCCTCAAAGTGCACCTAGCCTGGCACAACCACTGCGATGACGTCACCGCCACGTAGTGGCGAATGGCAGCTGTCGTTGTCAGTGTGTATCGTATAAAGCGAAGCCAGGTGGCACAGTAGAGGACACGCAGGTGGTGCATCTGCCACTCATCTCAGTCGGTCAACCCATGGCACTTGGGGTCTGTCCCGTGACCTGCCAGCAGCGAGCATTTGACACTTCACGAGGCCTCGGAGTGCACCTAGCCTGGCACAAAGCTTGGTGACGACATTCGCCACTTAGCGGCGAATGACGGCTGTTGTTGTGTCTAAAGTGGCCGTGCCGAGTTCGATTCTTGCTCACAGACACCAACGCCAGTGACGATTATCTCAACCGGTCCTGGGCCTCCCCTAGGTCGACTCAGCCTCGAATGAATACCTGGGACGTTGTGTAAACATCGCCACTGGGGAGACAAAGGCGGCCGGGCGTGGTGCTGGCCACCCACCCCCCACGTGTGCCACAGTGCCGGCAGCCTTCATATGTGCTCCCAACTCGCAGCACTTGCCCCGACAGCCTTGTCGAGTCTTCACGGGAGGATCTGTCTCTTTGTCTCGTGTGTCTGCAGCAGCTCCCACTGGTGGAGACCCTGGGAGGCCAGGGACATCGCTCAGCAGCATGAAGACGCGCTGGTAAGCTTCGACTTGTGTGCCCCTGCACAGCCCCGTAGCGATCCACTGCTGGATGAGTCACCCCACGCTGCGTGTGGCTTGGTGGGGCTATTTGACCGACCTCCACGGAGCTTCTCGTGGCCGGTTGGTGACGCCTGGTGGGTGAGTGGGGGTGGCAGTAGCGTAGAAGTGCAGTGCGATCATTAATATCGCTCCACTGCTACCCCTGCTGCCGCGTGTGTCGCCCTGCTGCGTATGCCATAAGTTCCGCGAGCCATGCTGGATGATGGCCTCTCACGGCCCTCCGATTAGCACGCTGGGCTACGTACTGCGCGAAAGAGGTTCAGCATACGTACATACACACATCCGGCGATGTAACAATCCGCCCAGCGGCTGCACACATTGTATATATTCGGTATTGTAGCTAAAAACAACCACTGCTATACATCACTGAGTCACTGGTGCCGCATGCCTGTGATCCAGCAGTGCTCCGTGCCTTGGCGAGGGTTGGCGGTTCACAGAGGTTTGTGGAACTCCCTCCCCTCACCCCGTGGGTGTCAACGTAGCAATTCCCTGGCTCGCCAGGGCACGGTGGTGGTACAGCGAGTGGGTTGATTTCCGTCTGTAATCCATCAGTTTGACGCGTAGCAGTCGTAGGAGGCTTTCACGACCAATATTATCCACAATAGAGGGTTTTTTGGGGTTAGATCGCGTAAATAAAAAAAATGTGTCATTAAACCCGCCACCACCCGACACAGCCAATGAGTAAGGTTTGTCACGTCAACAAAACGTGCCAATTCGTCACTAGTACAGCACTAGTGTGTAGTGTATAGTGTAGTGGATAGTGTAGTATGCTAGTTCAGCACTAACCGGTTGAGTGTTTGAGAGTAAACCCGCAACATTTACAATTCGAGTACGACGTTTCGCCGGTAACTACAACCAAGATTGGGCAAAACTTAGCCGACTCTTCACCGCGGCAAGCGGAGAACACAAGACGTAACATTAAAACAGCTAAGAGGCAACATATATACTGTTAAAAATATTTTTTTTGTTAAACTTAAAATTTTATCAAAACTGTGCGCATTACAAACGTATTTAAGAATCACAGTTAGGAGTCAAACAATATATATATACTATTAAAATAATGAAAATAACATTAAAATATAATCAAAAGTGTGCGCGTTGCAAAACTCTACAGCTTTTTAAAATGCTACTCTGCATGGCTGATGCTGGAACACAAATATGTAACGTGATTATTGTTTTTATCGCCTATTTATTAAAAGAGGTGATGACTCCCTCTCTTTCTCTCTCTCTCTCTGCCCGGAAGCGCGCTGGAGATTCCCAGAGCCAGTCCGCGCTGCCGGCTAAAGCAGCAAAACTCTGTTCTGGATTCCAACACCCAGTGAAGTGAGTTTCGCAGCCGGTGATGAATCACCGCCTGTGTGTGCTCGCATCATGTCCACCATCATCCGTCCTGCTGATGTGCGTGTGCACGCGTGTGTGTGTGTGTGTGTGCTCGCATCATGTCCACCATCATCCGTCCTGCTGATGTGCGTGTGCGCGCGTGTGTGTGTGCTCGCCGTATGGTTCAACATACATACATAACAGCACTTGCCCCAACAGTCTGTGGAAGGCTATACGGGGGATTTTTGTATTTGTGTGTGTGTTCGTTGTGATGAGCGGTAGTGTAGTGGTTAGCACACTGCGCTACGAACCCGGCGACCCGAGTTCCATTCCGGCTTATGGTCGACACTAGCGACGATTATCTGAAATGGTCCTGGGCCTCCCCCTACGTCGACTGGGCCTCAAATGAGTACTCGGTGCGGTGTGTAGTAAACATCGCCACTAAGAAGGCAAAGGCGGCCCGCGTGGTGTTGGCAACCCACCCCCTCGTGCGCCGTGCCGGCCTTCATAGGTGCTGCTCGCTAACAGCACTTGCCCCACAAGTGTGTTCAGGCTACACGGGGGATCTTTGCCTGTTTGATTCCCACTCGCGGTCAACACACCGGTGACGATTATCTGAGCCGGTCCTGGGTCTCCACTAGGTGGACTAAGCCTCAAATGAGTGCTTGGTACGGCGTGTAAACATCAGCACTGGGGGAGACAAAGGCGGCCAGGCGTGGAGCTGGCCACACCACCACCTTGTCCCGTTACAACCTTAACAGGTGCTCGCTAACTTGTAAGAGTTTTGACGAGGGTGCCCTTGTGTACACGCATGCGGTTTTTGCTGTGATGCCAAGCGTTGTGTTACGTCCCGGTGTGTGTACGTATGTTCAACTTCTCTCGCACCGTACGTAGGCCTCGTTTTGTCAGCTGTTTGTGTTGCCACGTGCACTGTGTCGTGCTCTTAGCCGTTGTGTTGTGATCACACAGAGTGTGGTGTTACCACGTGCATTGTGTCGTGCTCTCAGCCGTTGTGTTGTGGTGATGTGCTGATGTTGTGGCTCAGCAGTAGCACAGGTCCACGGTTCGAATCGAGCGGCCGCCCCGGTAATTTCTGCGGTGTGCGGTAACCACAATGATGATAATAATGCACCACTCGTTTCCGTCTGCTCCACTCACGAAGTACGTTAAAAAATCTCCGTGACGCCGTTCGCAAGAGCCGGCTCATCCTGTGCCGGCGTCGGCATCCACGTTTGCCAAATTTGAAAATTGCAAACCGCAAATAACTCCCATTAGGAATGGCACACAGACACACTCAGCGGCAATCATCGCTGCCTCCTGGCAGACGAATGCCCCAGGCCAGTCTCTAGCTCATGAGACTATCCCTGGCGCCCTGAGTGAAACTCACCGCTTATTCAGCTACCCATCCAGCCACTCGACCGCTCACTCATTCCCTCACTCAACCACTCATTCACTCACTAATTCACTCACTCAACCACTCATTCACTCACTTAACTACTCATTCACTCACTCAACCACTCGCTAATTCACTCACTCACTCGACCACTCACTCATTCGCTCACTCAACCAGGCACTCATTCACTCACTCACTCAACCACTCACTCGTTCGCTCACTCAACCAGGCACTCATTCACTCACTCACTCAACCACGCACTCATTCACTCACTCACTCGACCACTCATTCATTTGCTCACTCAACCACGCCCTCATTCACTCACTCACTCACTCAACCACGCACTCATTCACTCACTCACTCGATCACTCATTCACTCATTCACTCACTCGACCACTCATTCACTCACTCGACCACTCACTCACAACTTAGCCAACGAGACGCTATGCTGAACTGAATGCGTTGTGCACCGTGCGTGCGTCGTGTTGCACGTGTTGTTCTACATCTTCCGCACCGTGCGTTGTTCTCGGGCCGTGGTGCAGGATCATGTGGCCAAAGTCGAAGACGTTCGACTACCTCTACCGAAGTGGCCAGAGCCTCCTGGCGAACTTCCCCGTGCAGGCCACGTTGTCCTTCTACGACTCTAAGAGCGACGATGACGACGACGACGAGGATGACGACGACGAGAACGAAGATGATGCTTACGCCCGTCGGGGAGATCCGCGTGACGATTCTGACGACGCCGACGACGGCGCCGGGAGCGGTGGCGTTCGTAGTCGCAGTGCCAATTGTGAATTCGGAGCGAGTTCTAACCAAGGATCGACTAACATTCAACAACCCGGACGACAACAACAGCAACAATAACAGCGGCGATCGTTTTTAACGAGCTCGACCTCGAGCTACTTTTTTGAGGTCCGTCCTCGGTCAGGATATAACTCGATCGATTCCACGAGCGCACACCGCCAGCCTGGGCCGATGCGCTGCTGGAAGAACGTCTCCCCGCCACCGCCCAAGGCGCCGTCTCGCCGTCCTGCGAGTGCGCCGAGCTGAGTTCATCGCCCCGTCTCGTCGTCGTCGTCGATGCGGTGCGGGGAACCCGCCGTGGCGGGCTCGCTCCGCTCCGCTGCCGGGCTTTGCTTCCCGCCGGGCGACGTTCACCCGGCGGCCGATTGGCGCTGAGACACCGAAGAGGGCGCGGAGGAGAGCACGCGGGGCGGGAGAGGGTGGCCCGGACGGTCGTGCGGATGTGGGACAAACGCTGCGTGTGGGTGTGCTGTGTGGGTGTACTGTGTGGGTGTGTACTGTGTGTGTACTGTGTGTACTGTGGGTGTGTGTGTACTGTGTGTGGGTACACTGTGTGTGTGGTGTGTACTGTGTGTGCGTGCACTGTGTATGTGTGTACTGTGTGTGTGTACTGTGTGTGTGGGTGTGTACTGTGTGTGTGTACTGTGTGTGTGTGTACTGTGTGTGTGTACTGTGTGTGTGTACTGTGTGTGGGTGTGTACTGTTTTCGCTCCACGGCAAGCAGCTGTCTCACACAGAGATACACACACGCAGATATACACACACACACAGAGATCCATAGAGAGGTACAACATTGTGTGTGTGTGTATTTGCACGCTACTCGGCAGGCAGCTGTCTCTCACACATAGAGGTACATACACAGGGATACATAGAGAGATACACATGAATACACACAGAGATACACCACATTGTGTGTGTGTGTGTACCGTGTGTGTGTACTGTGTGTGTGTGTGCGTTGGGTGACTGCTGTGGGTCTGGATGCTTCGCAATTCCGCTTTGTGATCCCTTTTTACTTTGGATGCATCTACTGACCACAAGTGCATCGAGCGAGGCAAGCCTGTGTGCAACCAGGACTACATCTGCCACTCAGCTTTGCGGTAGTGATTATGGGCAGCGTAAGGCACTGCCACTAGACTACGCGGCATCACCCCACAACAACACGAGTCCAGAACGGCACCATCGGGGTAACGAAGCGCCGATCATGATGACTTTCAAGCGTAAGTTGAATTACGTGGAATCGTTATGTGCCGGAGGCGTTGTTCCACAGGCGGCCCTGGGATTTGATTGATTGGCTATTCGATTGTAATCTGCAATGCCGCACACAGCAGCGTGTGTACATATGAGAGAGAGTGCGTGTGTGTGTTGTGTGTATATTTTGTAGGTAGAGTTCAGTGTTGTTAAATAGCGTTAGCGTCTTTTGGTGTTTTGTTTTTGCACTCTTGTAAATATAAATCTTTTGTTTATTTAAAATGCAATAAAAAAAATCTGGTGACTTTAATGTCTATTAAAGTCCATAAACATATATCTGTGTATGCAATAGGGTAAAGGTGCAGGCCTGCAAGTGCTTGCCGACGCCACTGCTGGCGGAAGGGGAGCTCTAGAGCGCCCCCCTCCTCTCTCTCGAGTGGAATGTTGGCCTACTCTTCCTCTACGCTGTTTCAACTGCCGCAGCGAGAGCAGCGCTGCCTTGCTCACTCGGAGGTGGAGGTGCAAACGATGATTTTATCCCGGGAGGGAGGTGTTGAACTCGTGACCACCGCACCACCCCGCCGCTGATGATGATGGTGATAATGGTGGTGGTGATGGTGATGAGAGTGAGTGAGTGAGGTGGCTCTGGGGGTGGAGTGAGCGGGCGAGTGAGTGAGTGAGCGAGTGGTGGTGGTGGTGGTGGTGATGATGGGAGGGAGTGAGTGAGTGAGGTGGCTCTGGGGGTGTAGTGAGCGAGTGGTGGTGGTGATGGAGATGGTGGTGATGGAGGGAGTGAGTGAGCGAGTGGTGGTGGTGATGGTGGTGATGGGAGGGAGTGAGTCAGTGAGTGAGCGAGTGGTGATGGTGGGAGGGAGGGAGGGAGTGAGGTGGCTCTGGGGGTGGAGGGAGTGAGCGAGTGGTGGTGGTGATGGAGATGGTGGTGATGGAGGGAGTGAGTGAGCGAGTGGTGGTGGTGATGGTGGTGATGGTGATGGGAGGGAGTGAGTCAGTGTGTGAGCGAGTGGTGATGGTGGGAGGGAGGGAGTGAGGTGGCTCTGGGGGTGGAGTGAGTGAGCGAGTGGTGGTGCTGATGGAGATGGTGGTGATGGAGGGAGTGAGTGAGCGAGTGGTGGTGGTGGTGATGGAGATGGTGGTGATGGAGTGAGCGAGTGAGTGAGTGAGCGAGTGCAGTGTAATTGGATAAACCAGGAGAGGAGACGCAAGCCAGGAGAATCTGAGATGGAATTTGGATTGAAAGCAACACGTGTGTGTGTCAGTATGTGTGCGGGGAGTGGTTGCGCGCTGCGCTACGTCATGGGCCTCCCCTAGGTCGACTCGGCCTCAAATGAGTACCTGGTGCGATGTGTAAACATCGCTACTGGGGAGACAAAGGCGGCCGGGCGTGGTGCTGGCCACTCACCGCCTCGTGTGCCGTGCCGGCCTTCATAGGTGCTGCTCGTTGACAGCACTTGCCCCGACAGTCTGTTAAGGCTACACGGGGGATCTTTGTATTTGTTCGGAAGGTGTGGTCCCTCTTAAAAGGAAGATTGGCATCAGTTAAGGTTTTTTTTCATATTTTCTCGGCTCACGCCTGTTTAGCCAGACTCCCTCCGCTTATAAACTTGAGACTTTAAAGTGTAAAAATATGTCGGCGGCTAGGGGGAGCGGTGGCGCAGTGGTTAGCGCACCCCAGCATGAAACCACTCAAGCCACGCTAGTTCCATTCCCGGCTAAGTCTACAGGAGCGCACGGTCTGTCCCGGGACTCGCTTAGGTCGACGCAGCCTGAAAAGTGAGCACTTGGTGCGGCGTAGCAAAAAGAGTAGCACTGGGGAGACAAAGGCGGCCGGGCGTGTTTAGTTGTTAATCACGCTGTGCTGTATTGTATTAGATACAGGCATTTTACAACACACACTGTTGATGTTTCCCGCCGTGTTGTTGTGTAAACCTACACCCGGAATGCCCTCGCATTTAGTCCGATCTCGCACGGCTAAGCGGCGTGTGAGCCTGGCCATTTGTTTGGATGGGCAACCCAGCGAACGCCGGGCGAACGTTTGGCGCAACGTGCCACGTTCACTGGGGGGGCACGTTCACTGGGGGGCCACGTTCACTGGGGGGCCACGTTCACTGGGGAGCCACGTTCACTGGGGGGCCACGTTCACTGGGGGGCCACGTTCACTGGGGGGCCACTCGGACGCACAAACAGCCCGATTGCAATCGGCGCTGGGGGCTCAGAGGGCTGCGCTGGGTCGGTGGAGTCCATCGCACTCCCCGCGCTCCCACGACGCCGTCTCTCCTCTCGTGCCGCGTGCCGCTCAGCCGCGCAGCACCAAGACGGTAGCTCGTCGTCGACCGCTCAGAAACCGCGTTATAACGGGGACGCGTTCCGCGTTATAACGGGGACACGTTCCGCGTTATAACGGGGGTGTGTTCCGTGTAGTGAGCTAGCCCCTACCCCCACGACTCGCATGGAGTGGGGGAGGGAGGCCTTCATCCAGCAGTGGATTTAAACAAAAAAAATGTGTGCACTTCCACGTGTCCATGTCGAGTCAGGGTAGCGACACCCGCCAGCAACTTGGCATGGGCACCCCCACCTCTTAGCAGTCGGCAGGCCAGCGTGGAAGAGTAGGCAAAAATACTCGTCCCTAAGGTGCGGCAAAGCGTGGTTACTCCCAACTCTTCCAAGACGTCCCGGGCCTGCACAAAAGCGTGGAAGAGTAGACCCAGTGACTCCAGCAGCACACGTTGAGTTCCCTCGCACGGATCGGGGGCCTTCCGAAGGCCAGCGACGGCGTGAGCGAGTCGGTGCAGGGGATGCGCCTTTGCCCCCCCGCCCCCCCCGTAGCGTAAGAACTCGGACACTGAACTCGTGTCCCGTGCACGACTCGAGTGTTATCACAGCTGTTGCCAAGTCTGTTGAGCGCCGCAAGTTTTACATTTCTGATCATATCTGGGCTCGCTCGCTGGCACCGGCCAGCAGTTTAATATCCGTTACGGATGAAATCATCGGTCAGTGGAGAGTGGTGGACTACGGTTGCGTAAACATCGGCACGGGGGCGTTCGTTCATAGGTGCTACTCGCTCACAGCACTTGCCCCAACGGCCTGTTAGAGGCTACACACAGGGGGGATCTTTGTCTTTGCGGCGCACGTGGCGATGTCTGTTAACTTGCGTTTGCTCTCTGATCCACGAGTTCTCTCTCTCCGTCTCTCAGTGCAATCGCCGTGGTCTATCCACCGCTGGAAGAAGAGCAATGTGATGATGTGTGTAATAATCCACGTGTGTGTGTGTTCTCTAATCCACGTGTTCCTCTGTTTGTCTCTCACGTGCACCTGGGCATGCCTCTCCGCACATTTACCAACTTGTACTGTCTCTCGTTTTCTCCTGTCGAGAAAGTAAAGAACGCAAGCAGAAGACAAAGGAGTATCCGATAGAGCCGATCGAGAGTGGCTGATGTTGATTATCCCCGCGTTTGCTGGGTTGCCCATCCAAACAATATCCAGGCTCGTAGTCTGCTTAGCTGTGCGAGGTCGGACTTAATCGAGTTCCTTTTGGCTCGGAGATGTGAACTACCTCGCCTGGCATACAGGAGGTCGTGGGTTCGAGCCCAACGCCTGCTGTATATTTGGAGTTTTCACATTCTCCCCGTGGTCGCGTGAATTTTTCTCCGGGTCGTCCGGTTGTTCTCTCTCCACGTTTCTGAACTCGCGTTTGAGAATGATTTTGCTGCTCTGAATATCCACGCGATGCTGATGAGCCACGTCGTTGAGAGATAATTTGTGAGAGCCAGGTCGCTTCTGAAAAATCGCTATATAGCTCAGTGGGCCTTACCTGGTAAAATAAAATCTATATATAGTTTGGAGTTTAGTTTTATAGAATATACTGACGGCATAGACCAGGGTTCTTCACTACATTTTCAGAGTGGAGGGGGCCACTTTCGCCGGTAAGAGATCATCGGAGTTGCGGTTGCCAGCAGCACGACGGCGACGATGATGATGATGATGATGGGGGCAGTGTTTTCACAATTTGTGTTTTCTTGTTGGGGGCTGCAGGTCAAGGCCGTCAGTGGCCGCCAGTGGCCTTGCGATGGTGAACACAGTCGCGTCGAAGGTCTCCACACGACGACAATCATGACGATGCATGTTTATGCCGCTGGAACATTCGTCACAAGGGTTAGATCGCTTAAATATGTAAATGTGTCGTTAAAACCCGCCAACACCCGACAGCCAACTAGTAAGAGTTGTCACGTAAACAGAACGTGCCCAATTCGTCACTAGTACAGTACTAACCGGTGCGTTGGAGAAACAAGACACAACATTTACAATCTGAGTACGACGTTTCGCCAGTAATTACAACTAGCTTCATCAAAACCCCAAAAAAACTCTATCATGGATGATATTGGTCGCGAAAGCCTCCCACGTGGTAAACTGAAGTAGAATAGAGTCTGCGATATCGAGAATAATCACGCACGGTTTTTTATGCGCTTCTCAAAATTAATTTGTGTTCTTGTTATTCTCATTGAGGGCCGTGGTCAACCCACTGCTGGATGAAGCCACCCCCAAAGCAATCTCTAACTCTCACGGCAATGCCATGTCACAATACACCAAGTAAAGTTCGGTGGTGGGGGGTGGAGGGAGTGGGGGGGGGGGGTAACTTGCTGACCCGCCCGTACTGGGCATCTGAAAATAGAGCTTCATAGCTCATCGGATTCTTCCAGTCTAAATAAAGATGTTGCTTCTGGTCGATTCGAATTGTCTCGTTTTTGAGGCTTGGCTTATTGAGTTAGTGAGTTTATTTTACAGGTGTCTCAAGGATTATATTTACGTTTAGATTTTGAATCCTGGAAATGTTTTAGATTTAAAATTCGCCACCCCCAAATTTTAAAACATCGAAACTGTTTTATTCTGCAACATATTGTGATAAATGATGACGTGATATGCGTCATTTGAGTCGTGCGTGAGGGAGCTGCAGTCTTGCTGGGTGCTTGGATTTTATGCAGATTGTGACTTGTATAATATATAGATATGTTGTTAACCAGTTATTATAGCAGTAGCTTCCAGAGTTTCCACCGATAATTAGTGGTTGCCCGTATTTTAATTTAGATTTTATGTTTAGGTTTAATTGCCATTCTGGTGTGTCAATGTTTTATTTTCATACCGCTTTTATTTTTTGTTCAGGGTTTACCGCCGATGTACTGTGCCGCGTTTTGAGATACTAACTTGAAAGACGCTCTATTAAACTGAGTTCATCATCATCATCATCATGTAATTGTTCACATCCTGCATAGGCGATGCAGAGGTCGCCGA